TTTTACACTCATGGCCCTCCCTGGTGGCACAGCGGGTTAAAGCACAGCACTGAGAAGCTAAAGCCACTTCCTCATGAGTTCAATTCCCGCCTGCCCTGGAGGTGACCACATGGTGTGGCAGACCTCTCCTGACCCGCCCGCTGCTTCCCTCAGCAGTGGACTTCATCGATCTGCCTGTTCTGTTCCCCACTCTGTCTCTGGTGAAGCCTCTCACCGCCCCTGAGCCTCTAGCCTGTACCCCAATTCAGTATGCACAAATAAATAAATCTTAAAAAAAAAAAAAAAAGGCTGTACCTAGTGATTGAAAACTATACCTCCCTGACGCTCAAGCAACACTAAAATGTAAGAAAAGGAGGGCTTTAGAAATGAGGACATCTCCTACGTTACTCTTTCAGCCAATTTACTCACTTCTTAGTTTTGTTATTTTCTTTTGCTACCAGAAGGGCTAAGTTATGCTACTGTTGATAAATAGTCTCTATATAGTTAGTATACAGACTACAGTCATACAACCACTGGTCCGAGGGTGTGACTATTTCCTGAGAGTTCTACCGAGGCCAAGGAGAACAGCTGTGTGACTGCACAAGAGGAACAGGCCTTAAAATGCAGCAAAAACGTGCCTGAGATGTCTGGATTGAACTGAAGCAGAATTCTGTTCTGACCTAAGTTTACCGCTCTTGGGAGGCAAGTGTCTGAATGCCCATGAACTTTCAACACTTTGCTTCAGATGCGGGCCAGGTATTGAACACACAGCCGTTGTAAGATCAAGCCCCGCCCCCCCGCCCAATGAACCCGCCTGGTCCTGACAGCAGAGCTGGCTTTGCTCCCAGTTCCAGATTGTTCTTTGCGTCTAGACGCTCAGTGACTTGGACCTTCTGCCTTAAAAATGGAGGTGGTACTGATCTCTACCCAAAAGACACAAAAACACTGATTCAAAAAGACACCTACACCCCCATGTTTACTGTCACTTTATTTACAATAGGAAAGACACGGAATCAACCCAAATGCCCTAAAGTAGATGACTTGAATTAAAAAGATGTGGTATATATACACAATGGAATATTACTTAGCAATCAAAAAGATAAGCTCAACATGGATGGAGCTTTTTTTTGAGGCGACATGGATGGAGCTAGAAGGGATCATGCTTCATGAAATAAGCCAGAAAGAAAAGGAAAAATACAGGATGGTTTCACTCATAGCAGGAATATAAAGGATCAGGGGAGAAAATAATAATAACGATGATGAACAACTATATACCAGAGACATTTTGTGGGGGTGGAGTGGGGAATGGGATCAAAAATGAGGGTGGGGGAGTGCACTGGACTATGGTGAATGCACACGAGTGATTGGTGATGGGAAGCCCACGGGGTTTACAACTGAGATGGAAAAAGGCACAAAATGATGTAAAAATAAACTATTATATTATTTCTAAAAAGGAACGGAAACAACAAATGGGTGAGGTGAT